GAAAAAATAAAGAGCCAGTTCACTGGCTCTTCAAAGACATATGCTACCCAACTGATAAAGCAGCTGGTGATAGAGAGCTACTCAGGTAATGGTGGCATAATGTAACACCCCGGCTCAGGGCTTAATAGGATTAATAGGATACTCGTACAAACAAGTTGCAACTTCTTTTCTGGAAACCCATCTCTTAAGAACTCCAAGGTTAAGCGTGCTTGGCCTGGAGCAATGGGTGACCGACCGGGAAGTTCTTCCCGAGGACGCATGAGTGAGGACAAAGTGCGCAGAAAAGACTGGTGTTGGTCTGTGAGGGCAGTCTATGTCCTAGGAAAGCTATCAGATGTAAGCGGGCCTGGCCTCGAGGAGGCGGGACGTTACACATAAGAGAGCACATACTAAGGATGAGCAATTTGGCATCCAAGCTAAAACTAATGGATCTGGCTCTCAAGGAAGAGTTCCTTATACATCTGATTTTTGCTTCCTTGTCAAAAGAGTGACACTTTTGTTGTCAACTACAACATACAGCCCGAGAAGTGGGACATGGAGAGACTCATGGCTATGTGTGTGCAAGAGGAGAGAATGAAAGCTACCAATGGTGGCTCTATCGATTATTTGAAAGACAATAAGAAAAAGAATACTAATGCTAACTTCTCCTCAAAGTCAAAGAAAAATGGTACCATGCTGCATCGGCCTCAGCAGAACAAGTTCACAGTAGAGAAAGATTAGTGTCTCTATTGCAAGAAGACGGGACATTATAAGAAAGATTGTCCCGATTACTTAAAGATGATCATGGCAAAGAAAGGTGAGAATATTATTATGTTCATAAATGAATTCCTGTATGTACAGTATTCAAAATCTACTTGGTGGATTGACTCAGGTGCAACTGTTCATGTTGCTAATTCCTTACAGGGATTCCGTTCGACGAGGACTACGCAAAGAAGCGAAAGACACGTTAAAGTTGCAAATGGAGTCCGAGCAGATGTTGAAGCCGTTGGCGATCTTTCTCTAGAGCTTGCTGATGGTTTCACACTTTTACTGAGAGATGTACTTTATGTTCCCTCCCTACAGAGAAACTTGATTAGTGTTTTATGCTTGGACAATGATAGATATGATTGCCATTTTGGAAATGGCAAATGTAAGATAACATTTAATAATGCATGTGATGGTCTTGCTATCTTACAAAATAAGCTTTATTTGTTATCACTACGTGATGATGTCAATGTTGTATGCGATGATGGGAACATTGTGTGCAATAATGAGAATGTATCCTTGTCTACGGATGTAAACAGAAAATGAAAGAGAGCTCACGATACGTTGTCGAAATTATGGCACTGTCGTTTAGGCCATATTCCGAGGGGGAGAATAGAAAGACTAGTTAAGAATGATATTCTTCCTCTATTAGAGCTCTCAGATTTAGAACAATGCAGATAATGCATTAAAAGGAAAGTATGTAGAGAAAATTAAGAAAGATGTCAAACGAAGCTCATTAATTCTCTGATTATTCACACGAGACATCCGTGGTCCGTTTCTGTAAAGAGTGTGGATGGTTATGATTCATTCATAACATTCATAGATGATTACTCCCGTTATGGCTACATTTATCCAATTAAAGAAAAAACAGAAGCATTGGATAAATTTAAGATATTTAAGGCAGAAGTTGAAAACCAACACGATTTAAAGATTAAGATAGTTAGGTCCGACCGTGGGGGGGGGAGTACTACGGTCGGCATACCCCATATGGCCAAGTTCCTGACCTTTTGCAAGGTTCTTACAGGACAATGGCGTAGTAGTGATACTCTATTACGGCGAACCTAACCTGAGAATGGAGTATTTGAAAGCGCATAATCGTACCCTGATGGATGTGGTGCATAGTATGATAAGTTACTCCACCTTACCGTTGAGCCTGTGGATGGAGGCGTTAAAAACCATCATTTATATTCTCAATAGAGTACCAAGTAAGTCGGTGTCCAAAATATCATATGAGTTGTGGACAGGAAGAGTACCCTCACTAAATCACTTACGTGTGTGGGGCAGTCCTGCTGAGGCTAAAGTATTTAACCCAAACATTGGGAAGCTAGATCCCAAAACAGTAAGTTGCCATTTCATTGGGTACCCAGAAAAGTCAAAAGGTTTTCGTTTCTACTGTCCAGACAAACATACAAAGTTTGTGAAAATGAGACACACTGTTTTCCTAGAGGATGAAATGATGAGGGGGAGCATGGTAGCTCGAGAAATTGACCTTAAAGAGAAGCGGGTGTATGCGCCCACTCTAATGATTCATGAGTCATTTTTCTCACTACCTGCTATCACTGCACCAACAGTGCAAGATACTGTGGTGCCAGCACCTGTTGTTATTCCGCCTGTGACAACAATGAATGATGATGAGGAAGCTGTTCTTCAGGATCCTATAGAACCTATTACCACACATGAGGGGGAGCAACAACAGCCTCAAACAGAAGATGTGCCAAATGTGGAGGTCCCTAGAATGTCTCAAAGAGTTAGAAAATCAGCTATTTCTGCTGACTATGAAGTATATAACACTGAGGAATTTCAAATGGAGGATGATCCCAGCTCATTTGAAGAAGCCATGAGAAGTGATCATTCATCAAAGTGGCTTGAGGCTATGGAAGATGAAATGAAATCAATAAATGCCAATAAAGTTTGGGACTTGGAGATAATTTCTAAAAGAGCCAAAACAGTAGGTTGTAAATGGGTCTACAAAACAAAACTTGACTCTCAAGGGAATATAGAGAGATATAAAGCGCGACTTGTGGCAAAGGCTTTACGCAAAGAGAAGGAATTGATTACAATAAGACCTTTTCTCCAGTCTCATGTAAAGATTCCTTTAGAATCATAATGGCATTAGTGACACATTACGATTTAGAATTGCATCAGATGGATGTAAAGACGACATTTCTCAACGGGGACTTGGAGGAAAATGTTTACATGGCACAACCGAAAGGTTTTGTCATGGAAGGAAAAGAACGAATGTGATGCCGTCTAAAGAAATCCATTTATGGATTGAAACAAGCTTCAAGACAGTGGTACTTGAAGTTTGATCAGACAATAAGGAATTTTTGGTTTAAAGAGAATGTTGAGGACAATTGTGTCTATGCAAAGTTTAAGAATGAGAAGTTTATCTTCCTCGTCATGTATGTAGATGATATCTTACTTGCTAGTAGTGATGTCGGTCTACTCTTTGGAGACAAAGAAGTTTTGGTTCTCAAAATTTGATATGAAAGATCATCATGGTGAAGCCTCGTTCGTTCTAGGGATCGAGATTCACCGAGATAGAAGCAAAGGGGTATTAGGACTGTTACAAAAGGCATACATAGAAAGAATCTTAAAGAAATTCAGTAAGCACAAATGTAGTCCCTCACATGCTTCTATAGTCAAGGACGACAGATATGGGGATTTTCAATACCCCAGGAACCAATATGAGATCGATCAAATAAAAACGATTCCATATGCTGCAGCTGTCGAAAGCTTGCAATATGCTCAAGTATGTACGCGCCCTGACTTGTCATTTATTACCGGGTTACTTGGCAGATTCCAGAGTAATCCTGGAACATAACACTGGAAATTAGTAAAGAAAGTCTTGCGTTATTTGCAAGGAACGAAAGGCCTCATGATGACATATAGAAGATCTGATTCACTCCATATAGTGGGATATTCAGATTCTGATTATGGGGGAGATGATAGAAAATCAACATCTGGATATGTATTCACTCTCGCAGGGGGAGCTATTTTATGGAAAAGCTTAAAGCAAACCGTCACTACATCGTCCACAATATATGTCGAGTTTGTAGCGTGTTATGAGGCAACAGGCAGGTGGGAAGCGGCTAAAGAGTTCATATCCTGTTTGAAGGTGGTTGGCGACATCTATAGACCACTTAAGTTATCTTGCAATAATAATCCGGCGATGACGGTATGCTCAAAACAATAAGTCAAGTGGTCTTTGCTAAACACATTGACATAAAGTATTATGTTGTGAAAGATAAAATCCGGGATCATGTCATAAGTCTTGAGTATGTAAATCTTGAAAAGATGTTCAGCGGATCCACTTACAAAAGACTTACCACCCAGCGTGTTGAGAGAGAACATGTAGCGGTATGGGTTTAAGGAAAAGCCTATAGTTCTGGACAAAAGAAGGCCCAAAGTTAAGTATCATTTTTAGAACGAGTGGTGTGTGTTGTAGTGTTAAATCTATCGACAATTGGTCGTGACGATGAAACATGCTCTACGCGCTAATCTGTAATGGAATGAACAAAAATAAATGATATGAAATTAAAAGATGGTAGGAGATCAAGGGGAAGATTGTTAGATTGATCTCAATCCCAAAAGCCGGGCCCAACGCCCGATTGGGCTTTTGATCCGCACCACGATCGAGGCTTGACCCCACACTATGCTGGAGGGCCCTGTCACATGCGCAATATATATATAGAGGGGGGCGGTGGCTCAAGTCACGAGGTTCACACTGAGCCGAGCTCCCACCGAAATCCTAAACCCTAATCCGATCTAAAAGGGTGTGACCGGTGTGGGAAGCCACCAGCCGCGCCGCCTCTGCATCTACACCGAAGGGCTGCCACGACGCCGGACTTCACTGCGCCGCCACCGGTCTTCACCGCCAGTCGCCACTGCTCATCACCATACTCTTCCCGACCCTCGCTGCCCTAGCGCAGAACACCGACTCCATGGCGGGGCCGCGAGAGAGATTCTCTCTCTGCGGTGTCGAGGTTCGACACGTTCCTCCACTCCTCCCTCTAATCTCCGTCTAGAACATGTACTAGGTTATGCTACCCATTTATATGAAGTACCCGGCTACATCTACACTCCTAGTGATCCTTTAGTTTAACATCCCTCTCCCATAAAACCTCTGAACCCTCATCGAGTTTCTGTGGACGCCACGCCACGCGACCATACGTGAAGCACAGCATCGGCTCCGCATTCGCATCTGCCGCTGGACTGATCGGAGCAACGATCGGTGGTCGGTCCACGCCCAACCGATGAATAAGATGACCGTGCTCGCCGTGCTCTTGGACGCCGCCGTCGTCGCGGCGGCCACGCTCATGTCCTCCCCGGACGCCTCCCGGCACGACGTCGCGCTGCTGGAGATAGGTGGCGGCGGGGACGGCCGCTTGGAGCTGGTCCCCATGGACGCCGGCGCCGCGGGGCCTGAGAGCCTGGCGTTCGGCGAGGCGGCGGCGGGCGCCCGTGCGTGGGTGTGTCGGATGGGCGCATCCTCCGGTGGGTCCCGGCGAGCGGTGGTGGGAAGAGCACTCGTCCTCCTGCGCGCCGGAACTGTACGTACACGTCTCCCCATCTTCTGGTCTCTGATGAATGGTTTCGTTCTTTCTTTCGTGTACCCGGCATGCGTGCATTGCAATCCGGTTCTCTTCTTCCTTGCGATCTGCTCTCAGCTCCCTCTTGGGCGGACTCGTGTGCGCTCCGTTGCAGCGAGGTACAATAGAGTTCTGGCTTTGGATTGATGGCACTGTATGAGTCAGGGTCCGGGTGGGTGCAACGTCTATCTACCAGTCGTACCATCCGCGGCAGGCACCGATCGTACCAGTACGCATCGCATGCACATCGGAGCCGGAGAGGAGGCCAGATTTTGGAACGGCCCGTGGTCTTGCGTCGTCAACAGCTACCTGCTACCAGGACGGACGGTGCTCAGTGACAGTTGGTCCGGACTCTGGACATTCAGATTCACCTAAGTCCGTGCCTATACAGGGCTACGGCAGTACGGCGTATGTGCGCTCGTGAAGTCCACGCCGCCGGCCGGCCGGCCGGCCTTGGACCGCGGCTAAAACGTGGAGGAGGGAGGCTGGGAGACACGCATGGTAGGAGGTAGGCAGGGCATTCAAGTGGCGTAGCCAAGGGTAGCAGTCCAGCAGCGGAGACTGGCGGTTGCAACGGCGAGACAGCAACAGAACATGTACGGGGCCGTCGGACGGGACACCCGGCCGTTCCCTCGCTCCCTCCGCAGCCAGAGCCCGGTGATTCGTGGACAGGGCAGCAGGCAGCCACGCGCATTTGCACGCCCGCCCGCACTGTACTGCGTGGATCTCTCATAACGACACAAATCCACCACGACGCCGGCCCATGCCCATCCTTCCTCCGCCGTTATATACTAAACCTTCCACCTTCCACTCCCAGGCCGGCACCGCGCGGCACACGTTGGAGGACTGCCGCACTTGTAGCTCCATCTGCTGCTCACCTAGAACTAGAATCTAGAAGCATCCAGTCCGGCCTGCGCCGCACAGTGCGTGCGAGCGAGCTTTACTCCGCTGCTCCCTCCTGGCCCCTCCTCTTCGTCTTCCTCTCGGCGATATGATGCGCGCCCGCGGGGAGGTGGCGCTGGCCGCGCTGCTGGCGGCGGCGGCGCTCATGCTGTCGTCGCTGGACTCGCGCAGCGACGTCAGGATGCTGGAGATCGGCGACGCCGACGCCGAGCTGCTGCCGCTGCTGGACGGCGCCGTGGGGCCCGAGAGCCTCGTGTTCGCCGGGGACGTGGACGGGGACGGCGGCCCGTTCACGGGCGTGTCGGACGGCCGGGTCCTCAGGTGGGTGGCCGCCGAGCGGCGGTGGGTTGAGCACTCCTCCGCCGCGCCAGACCTGTAAGTTTCGATCCTCGTCGCCGTCCGGTCCTGTCCCCATGGCCACACTCACCGTTCGTTCCTTCGTCCGTCGCACCATGCATACTTGTGCTAGCTACCTGGTCCACGTCCGTGCGTGCGTGCGTGGTACTGCATTCTACCTTTCTGCGCTGCTGTGTGCAGTTCAGACTTCAGAGCTGAGTAGCTGACGGTTGCCCCCCGCCATCGTCCAAGTAATGGTGAAACTGATAGGAACCAATCCACAGGTCTTTGGGTGTAAATGACGCGATTTGACACCATTTGTAGGGCCCTCGCTACTCACTATTAGTATTAGGAGCCTTACTAGGATGGCTGTTGTCTCCGTCCATCATGGCAGCTCTGTGTTGCACTCTATGGCGCTGGGCCGTCGAATTAATTGACGTATAATAAGAGCCCGTTTGGTAGAGCTCCGACTCCGATCTAAATAGCTTCAGTTGTGGGTTCACCTGTAGAGCAGATTCACTGGAGGAGCTGAAGCACTTTTTGTGAACCGTTTAGTTAAACAGTTTCTCTTGACAGATAAAATGATGAAATGACGATGATACCCTTTTTTTTCTTTTCTATTTCCCTTTATTCTATTTTGCTCTCTTTTTCCTTTATTTTATTTTCTCCTCCCTTATCTCTTACTATTTCTTTCTCCTCATCCCAACCACGCGTCGCTGGTTCTCTTCCATCGCTGTTCGCTGGCCAAAAGCCTCAAGCTCTGCGGCCTCGGGTGTCGTCTCGGCCACAGGTCGTGGCCACACCTCCACACTGCCCTTGCCGGCCCTCTCCGGCGCCTCCGCGCATGCGCCGGCAGCGGCGGGCACATCCCGCGTGACCCCTGGCGGCCGTCTTCTCCACACCCGTCTCCTCCGCGACCGGCGACAGCGGCCGTCTTCTCCGCGCCCGGTGGCCGTCTTCGTCCGCGCCCATCGTCTTCAGGTGCGCCCACGCTTACACCCGGGGCAAATCCGCCCAGGACCCACACATCTGGTAGGAGACGGGCGAAGCTCGATTTTTTTTTGCTCCAACCGACGGCGCTGGCATGTGAGAGCGCAAAATACGGAGATCCTCTGTCGGAGCTGGTCTGTTTCTGGCTGTTTGGCAGAGGGAGCCGAAAAACTGCTCCAGGAGCTGCCTCAGAATCCATACCAAACGGCCCCTTCAGCATAAACATCAGCGTAAGCCAAATTTCAGCATAAGCGAACAGGGCAAACTTTGGGTAGATGGCACGATCATCAGTTGAGTGGTTTAGGGGCCGTTTGGTATGGATTATGAGGCAACTCCTGGAGCAGTTTTTCGGCTCCCTCTGCCAAATGGCCAGAAACGGACCAGCTCCGATGGAGGATCTCCGTATTTCGTGCTCTCACATGCCCGCGCCGTCGGTTGGAGCCAAAAAATCGAGCTTCGCCCAGCTCCCACCAGATGTGTGGGGCCTGGGCGGATTTGCCCCCGGTGTAAGCGTGGGCGTGCCTGAAGACGACGGGCACGGACGAAGACGGCCATCGGGCACGGAGAAGACGGCCGCGGTCGCCGGTCGCGGAGGAGACAGGCGTGGAGAAGACAGCCGCCAGGGGTCACACGGGACGTGGCCGCCGCTGCCGGCGCATGCACGGAGGCGCCGGAGAGGGCCAGCAAGGGCGATGCTGAGGTGCGGCCACGACCTGTGGCCGAGACGACGCCCGAGGCCGCAGAGCTTGCGGCTTTTGAACAGCGAACAGCGATGAAAGAGAACCAGCGACGCGTGGTTGGGATGAGGAGAGAAAAATAGTAAGAGATAAGGGAGGAGAAAATAAAATAAAGGAAAAAGAGAGCAAAATAAAATAAAGGGAAATGGAAAAAAAAAGAAAAGGGTATCATCGTCATTTCATCCTTTTATCTGTCAAGAGAAGCTGTTTAACCAAACGGTTCACAAAAAGTGCTTCAGCTCCTCCAGTGAATCTGCTCCACAGGTGAATCCACGATTGAAACTGTTTTGACTAAGCTGAAGCTCTACCAAACGGGTCCGAAATATTGTGAGAGGAAAACACTATTCAATGTGTGAAAAGTAGCTCAAGCGAACATTGGCCAACCTTCCATGCTGAAAATGACTGTAGAGCTCATGGGGTACCGTACCTCTGTTCAAAAAGTGTCAAAGTTACCGAGATACGTCATAGAATTGGCTTTTCTTTTATGGTGCAATTAAATTTTACTTTTCCATCGCTCAAATTATTCACAGAAAACACTTTTGGCTCATGTAGTGCAATTTTCTTTTATTTTCTTTTCTGTTGCTCGGAAAATACGGAACACACTTTGTTCTCAAAAGGCCAAACTTGTGTTGTAACCTAATTATTAATAATTTCTTATTCAAAATATATGTGCCGTGCCTGCATGCAGGCTGGACAGGTGCAGAGGCTCCCAGGACCCGGGCCGTGAGCACGAGTGCGGGCGCCCACTGGGCCTCAAGTTGAACCACCACACCGGGGAGCTCTACGTGGCCGACGCCTACCACGGCCTCCGCGTCGTCTCGCCGGATAACGACGACAAGGTGTCGAGGCCGGTGGCGCCGCAGTGGTGGCGGGGCACCGGCCGCACCTTCAGCTTCGCCAACGGCGTCGAGGTAGACCCGGACACGGGCGCCGTCTACTTCACCGAGACGAGCACGAGGTCCCAGAGACGGGAGTTCCTGCGCATCGTCATCTCCGGCGACACCACGGGGAGGCTGCTGCGGTACGACCCGAAGAGCGGCGGCGAGGTGGAGGTGCTGGTCGACGGGCTGGCGTTCCCCAACGGCCTCGCGATGAGCAGGGACGGCACGCATCTGCTCCTGGCGGAGACCACGACGGGGAGGATCCTCCGGTACTGGCTCCGGCCGGCGGCGAAGGCGCCGGCGATCGAAGAGGTGGCGCGGCTGCCGTGGTTCCCGGACAACATCAGGATGAGCCCCCGGGGAGGCTTCTGGGTGGGGCTCCACGCCAAGAGGGGCAAGCTTGCCGAGTGGTGCATCTCCTACCCGTGGCTGGGGCGGCTCGTGCTGTCGCTGCCGACGCGCCATGTCCAGCGCGCGTCGTGGCTGCTCAACCGGCTCGGGCGGCAGGTGATCGCGGTGAGGTTGAGCGAGGAGGACGGGAAGGTGATGGAGATGGTCAGTGTTCATGGGGATCTTCAGAAGACGTTCAGGTCGGTGAGTGAAGTGGAGGAGAGGAATGGCAGCCTCTGGATTGGCTCTGTCATGTCGCCGTTTCTTGGGGTCTACAAGTTGTAGTAGTAGAAGCACTTACATCACACGGTGTTTTACGCTTAAATATGGATTGGGTATATGTTACTAGAGCTTATTACACTAAGGGCCTGTTTGGTCCGGCAGGGGAGCCGCACCAAACGTTGATGAGAGGAGGAGCCCTTCTAGCCTAAGCCCCGTTTGCCAGGGCTTCCATTGCGGCTTCAGAAGCCACTTTGAGCCGTTTTCTGCCAAACGGGGTAAAATAAAACGGCTCCACTGATGAAGCCCCTAAAAACGTATTCTCACAGAGCTTTGGGGTGGGAAGGAGCTAAAAATAGTGGCTTCTCTCGGCTTCACCTCATTCTACATGGCGTTCTCTGAGAGCAAGAAAAACTATATATGAAGCTGTTTTGCCAAACGATTTATCAAAACGGCTACAGCTCCACACATAGCGCTATTTATGTAGCTGAAGCCCAAAAAAGGGCTTCATGGGTGAAGTGGAGCCATGCCAAACGGAGCCTAAAACAAGTGAAGAGGAGCCGTTTTATGGGACGGCATGCGGAACCATGAAATGAGGCTTCTCCAGCTCCGGCTCTGGTAGAGGAGCACGAGGAGCAGAGCCCAGCCAAACGGCCCTAAAGGAAAACATACATCATATCACACACACATATATATATATATATATATATATATATATATATATATATATATATATATATATATATATATGTATAGGTGCTACTATATATATATTATAAAAGTGTCTTTCCATGGAGGAAAACATACATCTTATCTTCTATCACTAGACCTGTTCATTTGGACAGGGGTTAAATGTGTCTTTGCATCGATGAACTGAGGACAGAAGTACAGCAGGCCTCTCTACACACGTCGTGTTCTTCAACCTACTTGTGTCTCAGCAACGAAGACACTGCAAGCGCTGCATCTGTCAGCAAGTGTTCTGTTGTAACTGAAACCAACTCTATTCACTTGTAGCTTATGACAATTGAAAAGTGGCACAGTTTCCTCGATCACTGTTCGGCTGGATTTGTTGACCGAATTTGGACTTATGGACCACTAACAGTGCCAGGCTAGGTGTTTTTTTTTGTTTGTGTGTGCATTGAAACAGTTTCTTGAAAAACTGCCCGGTGCACTCTCTCAGCATCTCTCATGTTCAGGTTGGCAGATCGCTCACCCTCTCCTCTCTGCCTCTTCGCTCTCTCGGTCAAACTACTCCAGCTGCATGCAAAGCAGGGTGCAGGGAGCAGCGCGGCAGTTGCCTGGGAGGCATCAATCCGCCCTGCGCGTGTGGGTGTGCTGAGGCGTGCGTGTGTGAGTGTGCCCATTTTCTTTTCTTTTAACCAAACACAAACGCAACTACTATATTTATGTACGTACTTCCTCCGTCCTCGATTACAAAACGTTTGACTTTTTTTTATCCCAAATTTAACTATTCATCTTATTAAAAAATTATACAAACATAGTCAAATTTAAGTCATTCTTGAAAAACTTTTATTAATAAAATAAGCCACGACAAAAAAAGGTAATATTTTATATAATTTTTTAAATAAGACGAGTGGTCAAATTTGATGTCAAAAAAGTCAAATATCTTATAATTTTGGAGGAAGAAAGTAGAAAACGCTATCAGCTACAAAACACACCAAACCAAGGTACTGGTACGGACAGGCTGACACGCGTATATACACTGTATACGTCGCAAGCATTTGGCAAACGAACAAACACGCAAGCGATTAGAGAAACTATTTTTGCACAGAAAATCCCATTACTTTTATTTAAATTAGGTTCAAAAGCTACATTGTTCTTGTCGGGTACCTTAGAACGGGGTACCCTAAGCAAACATTAAAATAAAGCTAGAAGGTAAGCCGTGGTCCCCTCACCTGCCACGACCGAGCCCTCCTCCACCTCGCCTCGAGCCTCGAGCCTCGAGCAGGGGGTCTCAGAACAAACTCCGCCTCGCGCGAGGCTCCCCAGGGTAGGTCTCGGCAGGGGACGCCGAGCCTCGGCAGGGGGCGCCGTCTCCGTCTCGCCCGAGGCTATCCAGGGAAGGCTTCGGCAGGGGTACATTCTCCGTATCGCGCGAGGCGTCTCGCGCGAGGCCTCAGCAAGGAACCTGATCTCCGCCTCGCGCGAGGCCTCATTTTCCGTGTCGCTCGAGGCCGGCTCGTCCGCGGTCCGTCACCCCCCGCCTCGGCCGACCCTCCCAACAACTCGTCATGTCTCATTAATGCTTCAACCACTCCTGCAATCTCAGCCGGACGGTGGTTCAACGCCACAACATGGCCGGCGCGACCAGTCGCATCGGCCTCCTCTGCATTTGGGGGCCAGTGCAGTACGACGGGATTACCGCCACTTTGTGTCCTACCATTGTGTCCACGATCGGCACCATACCATTTGGGGACAGAATGACGGGGATTACCGACCACTTGTGTCCAAACGCTGTACCCATGATCGGCCGCCCGCTCAAGGCCTCGGCACCGTACACCGGGGCCTCGGCGATCTTGGGGTTCGTGCCTGCCGAGACCCCCCCCACCGTAGTGCCAGCCTCGGCATCGACCAAGTCTCGGCCTCGCGCACTGATCCGTCCCACGATGGCTTGCAGTCGCCGCCGCCGCGACCACTCCGAGGCATTCCGGGGCTCCCACGACGCACGAGATCTCGATGGGATGACCACGCCGCCTGATACTCAAGGATGGACCACTCGACGGCCACACCGCCACGGGAGCAGGCTCTGGGGCGGACACGCCGCCTCTGTTCACACGACGCCGTATAGTCAGCTCATGTCTTGCCCTAGTCCTCCCTTCATGCTATAAAAGGAGAGGACACTGGGTTGTTTTAGGGGAGGGGGAACACCTTGTAACACACACGCACACTCCGCGTGGCGGAGAGCAACGTCTCAAGCGCCCACAGACGGCACCCTGCCGAGACCTAGGACTAGCTCCTTCTCTCCTTTAGCTTGTAACCCCCTACTACGAGCACCTCGGTGCAAGGAATACAAGATCGATCTCTCAGACTGGAAGTAGGGCCTCGATTGCCTGAACCAGTATAAACCTTGTGTCTCTTTGCATCACCATCCGGATCGGGAGCACGCAGAGCAAATTCACTAGTTGGTTGAGGACCCCCTGGTCCGAAACACCGACAGTTGGCACGCCAGGTAGGGGCGCTGCGTGTCGGTTTCGTCATCCCAGCAGGTTCCGGATGGCAGACCACGTACGACCATTGCGTCTCGGCACCGTGGTTTGGTTTGGGAGCCTAGAGTTCATGTCTCTAGGGCATGAGTACGACTTGGTGCTCCTCCCTCCTCGAGCCCCACCAACCAATGATGAAGTTATGCCCCGGCAGCCCAGGCGCGGGCGGCGTCCGGGCGGCCGTTCTCGCCGCACTCGCCAAGCACGGCACGAACAAGGCCACCCCGACGCTACGCGAATCTGGGGCAACACGCCACCCCGCCGATATCCTACGACCAGTTGTTGCACGGGGTCCCCTGGGTGGGGACTGTCTAGCTGAGCTTGGACAAAGGAAACTTACTGTGGCACGCTGTGGCGATGCCGGTCGTCAAGCTCCGCTCCACCACTCCAAGAGCCGATTCGGCGGCGGGCGAGAATCTGGAGGCGGCACCGTCCCCATACCCCTTTGGGTTGAGAAATGCCGCCGCCTCGTGCGCGCCTACGCTTACTCGTCGCTCACGAGCACCCCTCGAACGCCCGCGCGGCGCCGCTCTCGACTGAGCACCCTCTCGACTTCTCGGACGAGGATGAGGCATGGCCGGGGTGGATTTTCCGGACTCCACAACCACGGGGCTGCGCCGATTCTTGGCTCTGAAGCGACCTCTGCCCGGCTACTCCGACTCGACGACGAAGGCACCTCGACCCCACTCGCGAATGTTTTCATGTCGGGTCGGGATGAGAGGGCGGGCGAAGAGGACGAGGGGGCAGGTAGCCGTTCCCCGCTCCGCCCCGGCGCGGGCGTCGCTACACCTCCACGCGCCGTCCTGCCGGCCGCACGAAATGAGAACGTCGCTCTTGCGCGACCGCAGTGCCCAGACCTAGAACAGCTCCGTGAGCTCCAGGCCAAGGTCGAGCAAGACCAACTCCTTCTGCAGCAGCTTGAGACTCTCGAGCAGAGCAATGAGTCGCGTGGCGAAGGCGGGGAGCCCGACGGAGGGCCCTCGACGTGCATCACCGCATCCATAACGACGAAGGGAGCGAGCAACCCCCGATCTTCAATCGCGCTAGCCAGAACGTCGCGGCTGCGGCGATGCTAGTTCGCGCAATGCCCAAGCCTTCTACCGCGGAGGGGCGGCAGGTCCACGGCGAACTCCGTGACCTCCTAGAGACCGCCGCGGTTCAGCAAGCCGAGAGTTACGCCTCCCGGCGGCTTTGGGCGTCTCGAACCTACCAGCGGCACCACCTCGGCGACAGACGGGGAAGCCTCGGCTCGTCCGAACCTGCTCGAGCATCGATAGCTCATGAGGTCCCCATGCTCCTTGACCGCCTCGACAATCGACACGAGGGCGGGGAGACCACGAGGTAGTCGGCCGGCAGCGCGCGCCACGGACGGTGAGGGACCCGCCCGAGGCTACCATGTGCACCGAGGTAGCCGCTTCGACAGCGAGGAAGACCGTAGCCCTTCTCACGAGCCACGGCCCTCGAGTCTTGGCCAGAGCTATCCGTGTCGCCCGGTTCCCGGCCCGTTTTTGACAACCGGCCAACCTCGCGAAAATGGTGGTGAGACCAACCCGAACTCGGCTTGCCGACTACGCTTGGCGCTGCCGGCCTAGGTGGCGCGGACGATGACCTGCTCATCATCCGTAACCTCCCTTTGCTCTTGTCAGACTCGGCGCGAGCCTGGCTCGAGCACCTCCCTCCCTCACAGATCCACGACTGGCGCGACTTGGTTAGGGTCTTCGTTGGGAATTTTCGGGGCACGTACGTACGTCCCGGAAACTCCTGAGACCTTAAGAACTGCCGCCAGAAACCAGGCGAGTCCCTTCGAGATTTCATCCGGCGCTTCTCCAAGCAGTGCACCAA